GCAGACACATTGACCAACTGCTTTGGAGACTGGACTCTCATTCCACTCCTGGCTCTGCTCTGGGGGGGGGGAAGGACCATAATATGCATTCTGAGGTTCAGTTTCACAGGCCATCATTAGCTGCTGCTGAGGCTATGGGGGAGTCATCCCAAGGTTCCATAAGTACTCCAGACAGGGAGTCACACAGGGGGTATCCACATTATTCACATATGACATAGAGTGCTCCAGACAGGGAGACTGACTGGGGGTATCCACATAATTCACAAACAACAAGAGAACAAGAAGTATAGCAGGGGTGCTGGCCCAATTCTGCAATTGCTCCCAGAAGGAGGTCAACAGGGAAGGGGGTAGCCAGGGAGGCGTCTCCTGACTCTGGCGCTTCTGGCAAGTGCTTGGGGGCCACAGAGTACTTGGGTACTTCAGCTACCCAGCACTCTCCATCTGCTGGCCTTGGGTTAGAGGGACAGTGTTCCCAAGAAGGGTCCATTGTGGATCCGGGGACTACCATCTCTCCAAGATATGCTGGTCTGGACTTAGAGGGTCCAGCCAGCCAGCAGATGGGAGGGTCAACCGGGTATTTGGGGCAGTAAAGTCCTGGCCTGCTGAGCCTGGTAGGCGAGCAGGTAGGCCAGGCAACAGCACCAGGGTCATCTGGTAATTTAGGGCAGCAACGCCTTGGCCCACCTAGCCGGGTAGGTGAGCAGGTGGGCCAAGCAATCTCTCCTGGTCCGAGGAGGTTGCAGCGGGCTAAGTGCCCACCCAAATATCTTAGGGAATTTGTGAAGTTGCTGTCAAGTTCAAAGGGGACTACTCATAAGGGCCCTGAATAAAAGGGCATGGTTATTTTGTATTATTTTCTGATTTTACATTTATTCCCAAAACAAAGTGGAGGGGTTTTGCATTTGATTTATGGAACTATATATCACTTCCCCAATGTAGGACGTACATGAATGTGCAGAGAGATGTTCCATCTAGGGGGGAGGGGTGTTGTGTCCCGAGCCTGCAAAAGCAGGCTCGGGACGTTGCATTGGTCTCGGGCATTCCAAAAGCTGCCTGGGACCAGACTGAGTGGCGCCAGCCTTGCGTGCATGTGCAGGGCGTGAAAACGCTCCACTACTTGTTGCCATTGTGTCCGGGTCTCTGGACAGATAAAGAGAGGCCTACGTGCCGTTGCGTTGTTGGGGTGTTGCTGTTAAACGAGTAAAGAGCTGTTAACTACACAATGAGTCTTCATCATTCACCACGATCAAAGGACTTAACAGTGGTGACCAAAACTGGATGCAGTATTCCAAGTGTGGCCTTACCAAGGCATTGTAAAGTGGTATTAATACTTCATGTGATCTTGATTCTATCCCTCTGTTAATGCAGCCTAGCACTGTGTTGGCCTTTTTGGCAGGTGCAGCACACTGCTGGCTCATTTTAAATGATTGTCCACTAGGACTCCGAGATCCCTCTCATAGCTACTACTATTGAGCAAGGTACCCCCTATACTATACCTGTGCATTTGGTTTTTCTTGCCTAAATGTAGAACCTTACTTTTTTCACTATTGTATTTCATTTTGCTAGATAGCGCCCAGTGTTCAAGTCTGCCCAGATCCTCCTGTATCTTAAGCCTGTCTTCTGGAGTGTTGGCTATTCCTGCCAGCTTGGTGTCATCTGCAAATTTGATGAGTTCCCCATCTATCCCCTCATCCAAATTGTTGATGAAGATGTTGAAGAGCACTGGGCCTAGAACAGAGCCCTAGGGCACCCCACTACTACACTTTCCTCCATGTATATGCGGTTCCATTGAGGACCACACGCTGAGTACGGCCGAACTAAATGAACTAAATATCTACACTGTAGAGGTAGTACCAAAGATCAGGGTGAATTAGCCTCTCCATTCTCATTTCAACTATTGCACAGGAGATTATTTTGCTTTGAAAAGAACATGAAAGTCTTGGCAACATCAAGACAGGTAAATGACAACATCAAAACAGAGATGGATTTTCTTTCTTTCTTTTTTTTTGGCCTGTTGTTAACCTATCTGGAAAGAAGGAATTTCAACTACTATCTCACAGCTTATCCCAATCCCAACTAGCTAAGTGGGTAAATTGCTTTGGGGAGAGATTGCTTCATTAGGCTGAGACAAGAATTTCCACTGGACATTGCAGAGACAGGAGCAGTTCCTGGAGAAAATCAGTGCCTAGAAGCAGTCATCAAGATGGGCTAAATGTAGACTAGGAAAATGAAGCATATCTTTTGAACTAAAAGAAGAGGCCAAGTATACCTTTACACTTCAAAAGTTGTGCTTTTAGAGTAAGGGTTCACAAACATTGGGGGTTAGTGGATAAAATTAGAATTTTGAGAATAGGCACACTCACAAAACACCTTTCTATGAACATTGCTCTCTTTCACTTCAGGGATCTTTCTCTGGGCAGGGATGCACTTTTCCAACACTATTTTTATCTACCATTTTTATTTTCTAGGAATGGCTCTGGCTTCTGAACTGGAAAGTGGTGCTAGTGGGGAGCGGGAGGTTTTCATGCTAAAAATAGATTCTTTTTCTCAAGAAGTCTCAATTAAAAAAAATACATCTACCACTGGGTAGATCAAAATATCTAGCCCATCCTAACCAGTCCTGCTTTCCATGAAAGAACTTTCTCCAGCAAAAAAGTAGGAAGAAAGTTGCCAAAACCTACAGAATCTAAGCTGTGAACATGAGAACATTCTGGAACCACGAGAGGCTTTGTATGGCTGTCCTCGACTTACAACCACAATTGGGACCAGAATTTTCATTGCTAAGCAAGGTTGTTAATTGAATTGTGCCCAATTTTATAATCTCTTTTGCTACTGTTGTTACGCAAATCACTGCAATTTTAAATGAGTGGTTGTTGAATGGAATCTGCCTTCCCCTGTTGACTTTGTTTGTTGGAAGCTGGCTGAGACGGTCACAAATGGCAGTCACACAACCCTGGGATGCCATCAAAAAATACATGCCAGTTGCCCAGAGCCTGATTTTTGGTCACATGTTCGTAGGGATGCTGCAATAGTTTTAAGTGCAAGGACTGTTTGTATGTCACATTTTCAGTTCAGTTGTAACTTTGAATGGTTGCTAAATGAATGGTTAGCCATTAGTATTTCATGGGAGATTGTTTACCACAAATATACTATGAATTTTGTGAGGAAGTAATCCATTCTGAATTCTTCTTTTCATATAGTTTTAAGGAATGATTGCTTCTGATAGAACAATAATAGAATAATAAGAATTACTCAGATTTTTTTTATCTCACACTGAGCAGATGTTTATGTATAGTATGCTCATTTTTGCTTCTTATTTTAAATTATTCTAATAGGATAATTCAGCACCAAAGATTTGTATGTGGATTAAATTAGAATATATTACAGAATATATTGCAGATATCTTTTTTTCTACCCCAGATTAGCTTTTGTATACTAAACTGTACATTATTTCATATTATAAGGAAATAATAGTATTCATGTGTACTTACACATATTTATAAATTTATCAGGCTATTTATTTATTTATGAGACTTATATACCGCTTTAAGTGCAAGCACTCTCTAAGCGGTGTACACCAGTAAGCAATGTATATATATATTTACATTGCCCCCAACAATCTGGGTCCTCATTTTACCTACCCCGGAAGGATGGAAGGCTGAGTCAACCTTGAGCCGGTGAGATTTGAACCGCTGACCTGCTGAACACAGTCAGCTAAAGTGGCCTGCAGTACTGCACTCTAACTGCTGCGCCCACCTCGGCTCAGTACCCAAAGCCTTAATCCTAATTCATTGATTAATAATTGTATGCTTCACTATAGTTAATTTATAATATGCATGGTCATTTATTTGCCTATGAGCTTATTTTCATTAATAGCCACACATATACAAACAAACAAACATAATTTCAATGCAGTTAAAAAGCTACTGCATAAATGTTTAGGAAACAAAAGAATATTTGTGTATTTATAAGAGGCATTGGGAAATCTTTTTAACAAAATATAAATGTCTCCATGAAATTTCTTTTAGTAACAGTGATGATTATACCTAGAATGATTCTTAATTTTTCAGCACATATAAATTTTGCTAATTTTTTCAGGGTTTTAACTATTCGTATTTTATTTGAAATATTAGCTGCTTGGATCACTCTAGAAACAAGTGAATTATAAATGCAAATAAGAAAATGAACTGAACAATAATCTGAACAGTTAACGGAATAAGGTATGTTTAGCCTAAGAAAGAGAAGGCTTGTAGTGACATCATAGCCATCTTCTAATAGTTGAAGAAGGAATCAATTATTTTCCAAAGCACCCGAGAGCAGGACAAGAATCAATAGGCAGAAACTCATCAGAGGAAGAGCCAACCTGGAACTAAGGAGAAATTTCCTGACAGTGAGAACAATTAATCAGTGGAACAGTTTGCTTCCTGAAGGTGTGAGTGCTCCATCACTGGAGGTTTTCAAAAAAAGATCGGACAGCCGTTTGTTTGGAATGGAATAAGGATTCCTACCCTGGACAGGGGGCTGGACTAGAAGATCTCCAAGATCCCTGCCAGCCCGACGATTCTATGATTCTATTCCTGTAGCTATTTCTCTACTATTTCTTCCTATGACCCATCCAGAAAAAATGGTTTGTCCCTACTTCGTCCTGTAAAGTTTATAAAATAGAGGAAGGCCCACATTATCCCTGAAATCATTGAATATTTGCATAAAATCAGTTGGGAGTAATGAGGAGAATTAGTAGACTTTTTCAGCCCAGTCCTTTCTATGAAATATTTGCTTCTGATAATCTTCACTCTAAGAAAAGACCTGGAAGGATCATACTGCAAAGGTATATGCACAAAGTATACACATACATCCAGCAAGGTGTTCTTCTCCTTTAGACTCCACATTGCTTTGCTCTGCATTGCCTAGCCCACTTTTCTAAATAAAAATATTCACATGGCAGTGAAATTTTCAGAGGACTATTTTCGGAAAGCACATATAACTTTTCTTCATCTTACCTGTATTTCAGCTCTGATGTGGTGCCTTCCTTCTGGCTTGGTCAGGGATCTCAGCTCTCCATTATATCTTGTCACCTGGGATGCTGGCACCTGTTTTACCTAAAGCTGGGTTTTGTCTGGCATCTTTTGTTCTCTTCCTGCAGACTTCAGCTCTAGCTGGGACAGTGGCATGGAGAGAAAGAGGGTGGGCTTTCCCTTTAGCTCAGCCTGGAAATATTCAACTGTTAAAGTGACAGGGCTGTTACTCTGGCCTGCCTAGTGGTCTTCCCAGCAAGTGGACAATGTCCCATCTCCCCTCCTCTCCAGGAAGCAGATATTTTTTCATGCTTTAGGGGCAGCAGGCAGCGGTGATGTCTATTCAGATTTTAATCTCAATTTTAAAAGTAAATAGAATTCTGCCCTATCTCTTAACACAACTAAATGTTATAGTAATCTCCAATAAAAGATAATAGACTAGAAAAAAACTTTAGAAGATTATTAAAAAAATATATTATTAGCCCTCCTCGTTGTTCCTCGTTATTTTTGATTCTGAGGCTCCTGCCCTCTTACATTTAGAAGGGACCTGGAAATGTCTCCCAAGAGGAAGTTAGGGACTTCTCATTTCTCAGAATTGGACTTTTTTCTTTCCCCTTTTGGCTCTGTAGAAAAGATCTTTGTAGGAAAGATGCCAAGAACTAAACATAAGACCTTCAGATAGATGTACCTCTGAGCTGCTGCCAATATCTATCTATCTCATAGCTGGAGAGATAGAGAGGATTTTAAAAGATCATCTGGTCCAGACCATTGCCAACTTCTGCTGTGGAATTCTATTTGGGATGCTCTTCTGCTTTCCACTTGTGGAACGGACCTGTTTCCTTCCATAAACAGAGCCACACCAGGTTTGACTTTGTTTCCCCCCCCCCCCCAATCTCTCTGCCTGAAGCCAGGAAAAAGAGAGAGAGATCAGGGAAAACTCTTGACATCCAGAAGAATGGTTGTTTGCAGAGTGAGCAGCTGATGTCTTGGCTTCCAGACTGTAGCTATGACATCATGCCCTCAACAATAGTTTATAGGCCTACCATCATTAACAAGCTGTGCTTCCCTTAGAACATTTACTTGTTCCTAATGCATTATTGGGTCCCAGTATGGAAATATTGGTTGCTGGCTATCAGTAGTGAGAGTATTTTGGAAACATATGAGAACATATTAACCTTTGACCCAATTTCATTGATTGGATTCACTACTAAACCATAGTGTGGCATTAGTTTATTCTGAAGTTATTAATATGTGCTTGCCTTCCAAGGTAATACTGAGTTGTTTTCTGCTAGCTATCCTTAAAATTAATATTGATAATTTTACCATCTCGTCCTTTTCTAACTTAACATGTTTTTTCTTTCTATTGATTATGATCTCACATGGTTGTCCAGCATTCAAATTTAAATACAGCCTTTTAACACACCTGAAGAGTAGTTCTCTATAGCAGGGGTGTCAAACTGCCACCCTACGGGCCGGATGCATCATGCTAAAACCACGCCTACCCCATTGCTGGCAATGGAAAAAAAGTCGTGATAGGTCACAACGTGTCACGTGATGTTGCAAGTTTGACACTCCTGCTCTATAGCTTTGAGGGCTTTCTTCCAATCTTTGAAGCTGAAATTAATCTGATAACAGACATTGCCTTGTTTTGTTTTTTGTTTGTTTATAAGAAGCAGGACCAGTATAGAACGTTCATGACTTTATCATCTGGCTTAAAGGACACTTCTGAAATTTTTCTTAAATTCTGTAAAAACAGAAAAATCATTTGTACATAAAATAATAGTGAGCTTTTTTCAATTGCAAATAACAGTGGCTACGTTCAGGGAAGGCATTAAGCCAGTAACAATGAAAATACACAGCTTTGTATATTGATATCTCTTAACTTTCCATACTGCACATGATTATTATGAAAACAAGGGGAGAGTAAAGTAGACTATACATGTTATGAATAAATAACTAAAAACTGTTTTCCAGCAGGACATCTGTACTGAGTCCAACAGCACATCCATAATTCTGAAAAAGCTCTTGTTAGACAAAGGAATTGGACATCTGGTTCCTTCATAAGGTGCATTCAATGTTGCTGAGAGTTTTCTTAGTGATTTGAGAGCCTTTAAATAGCACAGTCCAGGAGATTGGAGTGTTGGTTGAAACTCTGCAGTTATCCCTTTCCATTCCACACCCTCCTCTCTCCCCCCCCAGTGGAAACTCTGACAGCTCTTTCGACACTTGACTGCTTTCCAGTAAACACTTTGGTCTAACTGATAGAGGGCCCTGGAATGTCATTTGGATGATCCATGCTGGGTGGGGAGGAAGGGGCCACACCAAAGGTCCGGGCCAGATAACATCATGCTCAGAATCTGTGTTTTTTCAAAAATGAAAGATTCATCAGTGGAAAGAAAGCAAAACATACAGTTCGGGGTTTGGCCCTAAAGAGGCTTTCTGCATAACCTTTTGCAGGTGATATATTATTTTTTCAAGGCTGTGGAGTTATGTTGCTATCACTTGCTCTCACTGCTGCCATGTGACAAAATTATGTATCTCCGGAGCTGCCTGTTATGTACCTGTATGAATCTCTGCTCTAGATTTTCTGCCTTCCAATCTGGTGCTTATTTATGTGCTCAAATAATGCAGAGATTCGGGGAGGAGAGGGTACAAGATATTTCTTAATAGACAAATATTTCATTATTCCAACATTTTACATTTCAGCTTGATGGGGCGTTGTCTTACCTGAACGCCTTTTCTCAGCATGATGATGGAGAATCCACAAGTGGGTTGTCTTAATCTTCCTGCTCCAATAAGACTAAGTCTGAAGTGTAGCTACGCCTCTGCTGTGCAAGAACACCCCAGTTTGAGACTAAGGCGAGACACAATCGTTAGTCTGACGCGTGTGCTTTCCTTACACTGGAACCAGGGCCAAAACTGCCCCTAAAAGGGAGAGAGTGGATTCTCCATCATCATGTTGAGAAAAGGCGTTCAGGTAAGACAACGCCCCTTCTCCAGCATGATTCGATGGAGAATCCACAAGTGGGACATACCAAAGCCCTGCTGTCCCTAAGGGGGGGAAATAGTGTGGGCCTGGGTCCCGCTGGTTGATATTACATGTTGCAATACCCTGCAACCAAATCAGGCCTCCGAGGAGGCATATTTGTCAATTTTGTAGTGCTTGACAAAGGATGAAGGTAAGGACCATGTTACCGCCCTACAGATTTCCCCGGGCTGTAGTGGCGCCATGGGTGGAATGGGCCATGATGTATCCAAGAACAGTCAATGATTGTGACCGGTATGCTAGGGCAATGCAAGCCCTAATCCATCTCCCTATTGTTGAGGAAGAGACCTTCTGACCCATGGAGGAAGGTTGAAATGAAACAAACAATGCTTCAGATTTACAGAAGGCCGAAGGCTATTTGATGTAACATCACAGGGCCCTGCGAACGTCCAGAGTATGCCACCATTTCTAGAGATCATAGGAAGGGTTAGGGCAGAAATTTGGTAAAACCACCTCCTAGGACCTATGGTACAATGAATTGATCTTGGGAATAAAGGAAGGATCTAGTCTGAGGTTCACCCTGTCTGCATGGAAGATGCACAGGTCCTTTCTGATGGAGAGAGCGGCCAGTTCTGAAATTCATCTGGCTGACGTGACCGCCACGAGAAAGGCCACCTTCATGGACATTTTAAAAGAGCGTGTGTTAATGGGTTTGAAGGGTGGCAAGATGAGGGCCTGCAACACCCGGTGTAGGTCCCAAGAAGGGTATTGGTGAACCGCTGGTGGCCTGGCGTTAGTCACTCCTTTTAAAAAGGAACGCACCGTAGGATGGTGTGTCAGGGGAGCGGAATTGTCACACAGGAGCACCGTGGATAGAGCTGCAACTTGTCTGCAGATGGTGCTCGGGGATAGCCCCTTGTCCAACCCATCCATCAGGAATTCCAAAACAATCGGAACAGAGATGTCCAAAGTTCCACTTTATGACCAGAGCACCAGGTACAGAAACTCCTCCATGTGGCATCATAGATTCTATTCGTTGAGGGGCGTATGGATTGCTGAATCATGGCAATCACCCTCAATGAGTATGAGTTTCGGTCAAGGCCTGCCTCTCCAGTGCCAAATGGTTAGTTGGAGCCACTGTGGGTCTGGATGCTGAAGTACTCCCTGAGTAAGTGTAATACAACATGCGGGGATTCTCCACGGGGAGGAGATGGAGAGCTCTACCAGGTCGGCAAACCACAGACATCTCGGCCAATGTGGTGCAATCAGAATGACCTCCACTCGTTCGTGCAGGATCTTGCGGATCGTCGCGGGAAGGAGTGGCAAGGGAGGAAAGGCGTACAGCAGCTCTCTGTCGGAGACGAGAACCTGGAAAAGAATCTCGGGAGTTGGGAATTGGCTGGGGAGGCAAAGAGTCTAAAGTTGGGGGACCAAACCTGTCCATGATCTCCCTGAACAATCTCGAGTCCAGGTGCCATTTGGCGTGGTCCACAGTTGATCTGCTTAATGAGTTTGCCTGCTGGTTGGCCACTCCGGATATATGTTCTGCCTTGATGGAGGTAAGATTGTTCTCTGCCCAAGACCCCAACAATTGGGCCTCCTCCATGAGAGACCTGGACCTGGTCCCCCCTTGTCTGTTCATGTGGGCCTTTCCAGCAATGTTATTTGTAAGCACCAGGACATGTTGTCCCGCTACCCTGCTGATGAAGTGTCGTAAGACTAGACATATGGCCCTGAGTTCCAGCCAGTTTATGTTGTTTTTCAACTCCTCTTGGGACCACCGACCCTGAGCCCATTGAGACTGGAGATGCGCTCCCCAGCCGAAGAGGCTTGTGTCCGTGGTCAGAGTAATTCTGGCAGGCTCCTTGAACTCTGTTCCCCTTGACATTGCTGGGGAGGCCCACCATCGAAGGGAGTTCAATGCCTGACGCGGAACTCGAACCTTCTGGTTTGAAGCGCTGATGCATAGCCTCTGGAATGGAAGTAGAAGCGACTGCAGCTCCCTGGCATGAAGACGTGCCATGGGATGATCTATATACAGGACACCATCTTCCCCAGGAGTTGTGACAATAAGGCTACGGTGACCACCTGCTCCCTCCAGATCTGATAAACTAGGGCCCGTATGCTGTCCCGTTGGTCCCGTGACAGATAGACCGTGCAATTGTTCATGTCTATGACTGCCCCTAGATGCAGGAGACAGATTGAGGGAACTGTATGGCTTTTCTGAAAGTTGACAGAAAACCGTGCTCCTGAAAGGTCCTGACAGCGAGGGAGAGATCCGACTGAAATATCTGGATGGAGGGGGACTGTATCAGTATGTCCTCCAGATAGCACTGAACCCTGATCGGGATCTGTCTCAGGTGGGCAGCCAGCATTGTCAATATCTTTGTAAACATTCTGGGC